TTTGTAACATATGTGTCCATGTGAGTACATGTAGGTGGTTTGAGGAAAAACATATGTTGCTTATATCCTTGTGCTTTATCAAATATGGAAATTATTAATTGTCTGAAATTTAATTTATCATATGACAAATGTGGCTTATCAACTTAGGGTGGGGTTTACCTTGTTAATTGTCATACACAATCCTTAAAATGGCATATGATAATGTAAAGTTAGTTTAAGTACAGTATGATAAATTTTTACTATAGACTTACAGACTTAAAGCAAAACTTTTGAGGTTTTAATTATCAATGATTATTGTATGTTCTCTAATAAACGCCCCTAAATGTTACATTTTCAAAAAAGAGAAGCCGTACAATATACATATATCAAAGTAAAAATAATGGTTAAACCATCATCAAAATAGAATTATTAATGGCTGTTTTTGTGTTAATACTACTGAAAACACCAGCTGGATTAAAATTTGAGCTCATCTCCTTAGATTTGTAATATACTGCAATCATTCTGGTATCTCAGCTTTTTTTTTCTATGTCCAAAATATGGGTGGGCACATTTAATAGTGGAGGGGTGTTTATTAAAGAATATATGGTAGATGTTCATTTTACAGGTCTGATATACCTAAATTTAATGTTCATTTTTGAGGTTTGATAACTCTAAATAAGGTGGACATATCTCAAATTATATCTCAATGATTATTCATCCTTTACTGACACTCACCAGAAGTTGTTGAACATTAGTGGAGAATTTACTGGTTATGAAAACAAAATTGCTTAGGCACACATGACTCTCAGTATGAAATTTGGCTCTGAAAAATCTTACAACCACTTATTCAGCATCAGTTTTAATAAATAATTTGATAAAAAGGATGCATTGACTATGAGGTTCTTTGTTAGAAAATTTTGTATACAAACAAGTTTCAGATAATATATCATATTTAATAGTCAGACACAATAATATGCCTTGCTACATATGGATCATTTTATTGCTACTTTATCAAAAATTTCCTGAAATAGAAACTGATAATAAACTAGATATGCTTTTAAAGAAATTAATTTTGTGTCATCAATCCAAAATTTAACATCAATTTGGGAATTCATATTTCATAAAATGCTTGCAGAAAATTATAGTAATATCAAAGTAATAGTGAATCTTCTTATCATTTTAAAGAAAGTAGCAAAATAGATTTCAAATTCTGTTTTAGTTTTGTGTTTTTTATCAGAAATAATCTGTGAAATTATAGATTTGTAGCATATTTAGAAAAGCAAAATCATCGAGCCGACGTTATCGAACGAGTCAAGTACCTTTCAACAGTCGCGGCAGAAGTTGAAACATCTTAAGATTTAAGACAAGCTAAGATTATGCTTGTTTACCCAAACTCTCCCATAAAGAGACAAATATTTACCTAGATATTCCGCCATACTGAATGTACGGAACTATTTTTAGTACTTCAAAAAAAACGACATCAGGAACGCAGGCACTTAACTAAGTGAAATAGTTCCATTAAACTTTATGCAATGAGGTAGTTGTAAATTTAAAACTGAAATAAATAAAAATGGAAAGATATTGAAATCAGGGTGGATTTAATCTTTGATTTACAATGAAAAAGATGAGCTTCAAACTTTTTTGGTCTACTTAATAAGGAATGGGATTTAAACAAATAAGAAAAAAAGTATTTTAAGCTGATATCAATTCCAACTTATAAATGGAAGCTGACCAAGCATAGCTTTTAAATTATAAGAATTGACTAGTCCCCCTTCTATAATTCAGAACAGTTCATTGTAAGTTCAAGATGTTGAATTAGAATTTATTTTATTTTTTTCAGGGCCCATTTCCGAGTCGGCAGACGACCTTGAATGATATGCCCGAGGAGATGGAGAGTCCCGGTAACAGCCAGCACTCAAATATTTTACGAACTCAACAGTACAGTCAGTTATCGGCTCAAACCAAATACCTAGATCACACAGATGCTTCATTGGTGAGTATCACTTTTCCCACTTTACTTCCCTTTTGCTTCATTTTACTTATTTTGCTTAAATTGTAAAATGCAAAATTCATTTCTTAATACTGAGACAAACAATTAATGAAAAAAAGTCCAGTAGACGTTTAAGACTAGTTGGAGTTTTGTTTTGTTGTAAGTTTCGTTTTAAACAGTAAAAGGTGAAATTAAAAACTTGACTTTCTGTGAAAACATGGAAAATTGGTTGAGATTTTACAGATAATGAAGTTTATATGGTAACTTAAATCTTACATTGCATTTTGATCTGAAATTTAAATCCCCATTGCAGTAATTAACTTTCAAACTTAATGACTCTTATTTCATGATTTTTTGTAAAAACGTTTATTTTCAAACGCTATCTCGATAACATTAGGAAAATTTATACCTCTATAAAGAAAATAAGATATGTTTGAGTATGGTATTTATAAATTCATTTCATGAAAATTTCTGGGTGTTTTTCTGTAACGGGTTTTTAATTATCATTAAAAATAAGTATGAGTACAGTATCCTGTCTGTTTTTAACAGATTTGGGTTTAGTCTACGATTGTCTACTTTCTTAAAATAGAAATTACGACCAAAAACACAAAGACGGAAGGTAAAAAAAAATGTGCTTTAAATTAACGATACAGGGAAAATTGAAAAAATTGCTTAATAATAATTTGTTAAGTTATGAGGGCATAGTTCATTGATGCTGGTTAGTGGGTTACATATGATATGTTGGTAATTCTGGTTAGCTGCATATATGTCATATTAGTAATTCTGGTTAACTGCATTTCTGCAGGGAGCTGACATAATTCCTTTGAAAGCTTTAAGAATTTTTATTTCCCCTTTTTCCATTTATAACATGTGACCTCTTTAACCAATCAAAATGCTTAGATTTTAAGCAAGCTTGTAGTTAGTGCATATGGTAATTTAGTCCAACCTGTTTTAAAGCTATCATCAATAAGTGGATAAAATGTGCGACCCTTTCCAACCTGGAAATAGTGGTAGACATTTTTTGTATTTTAAAGTGAATTGAAAACAGGTAATTTGCAAACAGACAAAGCATGCATCATTTAAGCATAAAAAGTTGCTCATTTTTAGAGGTCAAATCCTTATTGCATTGATTAATTTAAGCCAAAAGAGCTTATTGCATATTAATTAGGGGCCAAGACATATCCAGAAATATTTCTGATAATAATGATTATTTTCTTTATCAGATTGTCACTGCTTTGAAAGAATAAATGTTGTCTTTATTAATTTTTTCTATATAATATTTAAAACTCATTACTGTATTAAAGTTTTTTCTCTAAAATGTGTATTGTATATTTTAACATATTTCAACTTTTGAGATATATATATCAGTAAAAATTTGAAAATACGGTATTTGTTGTTGCTAGGTAACGGTTTCATGACTTAACCATACTATCTTAACTTCTGTTTAAACTTTCCTACCATATTTGTCTTGTATAAATGTATCATAGTAACAATGTTTAACCTCTGGGGTCAAGGTGAGTTTAAAAGTATTTAAAATATTTTTATACAAAAAAAAAAAAAATTAAGGTAGAAAGTACAAAAAAGTACTACTTGAATATTGAAAATTTTATGCTAGAAATTTATTATGCAGTTGATTACATATAAGGCTTGTGTTTTGAAAATTTTCGAACAATTGATAATTAAGTCTTATAAATTACCGGTAGGCCTTTGTTTAGATTTATTGTTTTACAGTTTAGATTATGAACAGGTCAATCATTTTGTCTGGTTGAAACAAACATAAGGAAATGCATAAATTATTGTACTTTTAAGGAAGAAATTTTGATACTTAAATTCAGAAATTAAATTTTTTTTGTTTTGTATTTCAGACTGCGAGTCATCAACGTGAGGACAGTCATAGTGAGACGTCAGGGGAGACAACCACAAGTCACGATAGCGGGAAAGGTGGCAGCGTAGAGGGAGATAATCATGGTATGTTTTATACTGTTTTAAGTTCTGTTAGGTTGAATAACAGACACCTTAATCAATAGGCCCCTTTACATATTGTTTTTATTTTTTTTAACTTATCTTGTCCAATAGTTTTGTTGAGCCTGGAAGCTGTCAGCAGACAGCTGTCGGCATTAGACCGAAGCCGGGCATGCAAGCATACTTTCCCATTGTGCTAGAAAAGAAAACAAAATTTTCATATGGAAATCAAGATATTTAACCTCGAGAATTTTAATTTGATATCAAAATTAATAATCTTATTCAATGCCTGAAATTTATATCGCAGTGAAATTTGAATGATTGTCTGAAATAGAATGTATTCAAAATTGTCCTCGGATATTTTTATGGTGATTATAATAGATCGCATTTATATGTATGCTCTTAATAACATTTTTGTATCATCCATTACTGACTATAAATGATGATAGATTCTGTAATCAATTTTGATTCATGTATGAAATATTATTCATAACTGTTAAACACCTTGAATTTTAAACAATCCACGGTTAATATTTATTTGATAGTAAATATAAAGTAATTAAAGGCATTATTTACATATTAAGTGATTCTAATTTGTACAGTTTGAAATAAAAGTTCAAAGTAATGAAAATGTTTTATAAATAAATCATTTCCAAAAGATTCAAAGTGCTTTTTTTATTGATCAGGAAAACTTGGTTATCAGTTTATTCTGAAATTGAAAATGAAATTTATGCATGCCCCATCTATTATATTATAAATAAAACGCCTATTTTGATATCATTGAAATAAAAAGAATTCATTGACATTGATTTATTATTTTGCCCCTTTATTTTTCAGACTTACAGCTTCATATTAATGCATTGAATCCATCAGCGTACCTCATCCGAGACGGGCGACCATCGCACAGCTCATACAGACAACCCAAACCGTCTTCACCGGTCAAAAACATTCCGCCGAACACCTTACCGCTGCCTTATAAAACTACCGACTCAAAACCCAAATCCGCTTTTACTGACAATAAATTCCACATTGCTCCGCCTAGTCATCGGACAAGTCAAAACAGAATTCCGCAACTTGACTCGACCGGAAGTTATCCGGATTCAGACTATATTAGTTTAAGCTCAAATCATAACTATAGTCAAGGGCATATTCATCCATTCAGAGACCCTAAGTATCATTATAATACTCATAATATAAACTCGTTAAAACCGCCGGTTCATAATACCGGATATTATAATCAAGGATATGGAAATTATTCAACGTATCGAAGCAATAGCACGAGAGACGATGACGAAACGACGACTACGTCAGGAAGTTATACAATAAATCATGACGATCTTGATGATGACCTTGCTGCAGCGCAGTTTCAAGTGTCGCAAGTCGTGTGATCACATGACGTAAAGTGTGCTGAATATGCATTTGTTTTTACCTCAAAGTGCCAAATTTACTTTGTTAACCTTGAAACACTTCCCGTGTTCAAACTAAACTGATGTCAAATATACAGTTCATTGTGTAACCATGTTAACGTTAACAAAAAATTATAATCATAGAATGCTCTCAGTAAAAATGGCTTTAAAAGTGTTGAAATATTAATATCAAACCAGGACTAAAGGAAATTTGTATCATATGTGTTTCTCCAAGAATGAAAGATATGAAATGCCATGGTGGAAAAAAAGCCTTGAATTTGATTATCAAGGATGTTAAATGGATTTGAATGCAGGGACACACTGGTTGGCAGTTAAGAAATGTATATCAATGTAAGTATCCTATTTTTAATCAAGCTTATTGAAAACTCAGAGTTAGAAAATTACAAAATATATAGAATGATCTATCATTTATAATTAGAATCTGTGTTAAAAGTAATTTTTAGCTCGACTATTCGATAAGAATAAGTAGAGCTATTGTAGTCACCCGAGCGTCGGCGTCGGCGTTGGTGTCCGCGTCGGCGTAACCACTTATGTTAAAGTTTTTGTAATAGTTCAAATATTTTCAAAGTCCATTGACATATGGCTTTGAAACTTGGCACACTTGTTCACCATCATGACCCCAACCTGTAGACAGGAGGAGGTAACTGTATCAAGCATTTTGACAGAATTATGCCCCTTTTTCGACTTAGAATTTACGTTAAAGTTTTTGTAATAGTTCAAATATTTTCAAAGTCCATTGACATATGGCTTTGAAACTTTGCACACTTGTTCACCATCATGACCACAACCTGTAGACAGGAGGAGGTAACTGTATCAAGCATTTTGACAGAATTATGCCCCTTTTTCGACTTAGAATTTACGTTAAAGTTTTTGTAATAGTTCAAATATTTTCAAAGTCCATTGACATATGGCTTTGAAACTTTGCACACTTGTTCACCATCATGACCCCAACCTGTAGACAGGAGGAGGTAACTGTATCAAGCATTTTGACAGAATTATGCCCCTTTTTCGACTTAGAATTTATGTTAAAGTTCTTGTAATAGTTCAAATATTTTCAAAGTCCATTGACATATGGTTTTGAAACTTTGCACACTTGTTCACCATCATTACCCCAACCTGTAAACAGGAGGAGGTAATTGTATCAAGCATTTTTTTTTACTATCAAGCACTAAGAATAGTCGAGCGTTGCTGTCCTACCGACAGCTCTTGTTGATATTGGCTTTTCTTAAGGTTGGTCTTTGACCAAGTGGCTTGAGCCAAAAGTCTACTGGTATCAACTGAAATTACTCTTTCAAACAGTACAGACCAAGAATATGGTCTTCAATCAATACATATTGTAGCAAATTTTCCCCTAAAAATGATGAATGGTTTTGTCCAGTTAAAAGATGGACAGGTCCATTTAAGATATATAGCAGGTTTAGGTATAAGGTGTAAATTATAAACTTGCATCTTTTATACTTGCTGGGAGTTTCCTCCCCTTTCTGACAGAGCTATAAAACCAGCTTATGATTCTTTACAAAGGAACATTTTGTACTATAATAATTCATATATATTGTGTTGCAACTTAAGTCTTTGTTCACACTTATATCACTGACCTTAATGTTCAATTAAGGTCTGTGCTTATGTGTAGTAAAAAGCAAGTGACAGTATTTTTACGAAATGTCAGCCGACTTGTAAATAATTTGCATTGGCATGTTATTTTTTATCAAACTCCTTGACAGGTTGTGGATTTGAGCAATGTATTTATTGTTATACATTTGCATTAAGTAAAATTCCCTTACTTTTTTTCTTTCACAGGTCCTGCAAAACACACTTTGAAGGAAAAGCTCCAGATGTAAAGAGAAGACTCCAGATGCAAGAATGTATTACAAACAGTTATGGGCTAGATATTCATGGTTTAACTATATACACTATGACCATAGATTTATCTTTGTAATTTCGCATACTGTGGAATTTTTGTAATGAAATCTTACCATGAAATTTGCATTGTAAGGCATACCATGGCATTGTGTCTTGGTATGTAATAGCCAAGTTATTACTGCAAAAGAAAAACAGGGATTTTGCTGGATTAACAAAAAGCATATTAAACAAGATAAAAAAAATGAAATAAATTTACTATTTTTCATACCTTCATTTGTTAAAACTAATACTTTCATCTGGAGGCATGCAGCTTTAGGGGATGATTTGTTATTGTTAAATGATCTCAGACTAAAAGTTTATATTAATTTTGTTGCATATTGGCTGCCTGCTTATTGCACTCATTGGTGAAATACTGATCGTCATTAATTTCTATTTTTTATATTTTCCTGTAAGCTGTCTTTTTAGCATAATCAGTAGATCATGTGTTCAATATTTTTAACCAATCAAAATTCATGTTACATGTTTGGGTACCAGGTGCTTTTCTGTATGATGTAGAAACAAAGGTTTTGATTAGTTGATTCCTTTAATGTTAAATGTGATACTGTTGTCTTGTATTGTGAAATTAAAAAATCATGTGACCATATGGTTATATTGTAATGAAAATTGATATTTTATTCAGATTTATTTAGGTCTTTATTCAGGTTTTTATGAAGTTAAATGAAGGGGCAAAAATGTATTTTAGACAATACATAAAATTGAAATCTTTGAAAGAAAAGCTTATTTTTATCTGGCAATTAGAGCAGTATGGAATGTAAACCATTTTTCGATGATTTCTACAAATATTGTTCATTTCCAAATACCTGATTTAATTCTGCTGTGAAGAAAATGATTTTCATAGAATAATTACTGATTTAAAATATGGTTATTAATATTTACAAAAATATTATTTTCCTCTGAAATCATATTGATTTCCATTGAACCTAATTTTTTTCCACTAAGATTATTGATTTCCTTTAAACATAATTTTTTCCACTAAAATTATTGATTTCCATTGAATATTATTGATTTTCTGCTGAAATTATTGATTTAATGAAATAGTTATTAATATTTATTAAAATATTATTTTCCACTGAAATCTTATTGATTTTTGTTGAATATTATTGATTTTCCACTGAAATTATTGATTTATATTAATATTTACTAAAATATTATTTTCCACTGAAATCTTGTTGATTTCTACTGAAACATAATTGATTTCCACTGAAAAAAAATTGCATTTTACTGAAAAATTATTGATTTCTGGGAGAAAAAAAATCTTTGATTTTTACTCAAATATTATTGATTTCTACTTAAAAGTTATTTTTATTAAACATCCACTGGATTTGTAGAAATATTTTACCAATCAGTGCTAACTATTGCTTAATTTAAGCTATTTTTGTACATATGTCATTCATTATACATGTATTTTTTTTAACAAAAATAACATGTTTACAGAGTAAATACAAGTGTTGTTATGTATATGACAAAACCAATCCTGTCCTTAAAATTAATGATTAAATAGAAATGTTTGAATCATATTTGGATATTATATTTTAAAGATTTTCTTTCTCTTTTTTCAATGAATATTTCTAATATTCCGTTACATTCCTTTGTTTGAAACGTTTTCCTTGTTATAAGATATATTTGTACATAATATTTGTTATATGTGATAAAATATTGAAAAAATGAGATAATCTTAAAAAAGAATAAAATGAAGAAAAATGAACATGTGTTATTTTTCATTACTATTTCTTAGTCATATGAGATAAGTACATGTAGTTGGCAAGGTATTACTGGTTAGTCATCCAGGAAAGCCGGTTAGGTGGAATGACGGCCGAGATACGGCCAACAAATGCGTCAAAATCGTCCTGGAATCCCAACATAATTGACTCCTATCTGGGACAAAGTATGAAGTTATTGTACGTGATACGGACATTATATTTGTGACGTAAGAAACATAGAACATCCGTATGTGGAAAAAAATCATGAAAAACTTTGGTTTGTCAAGTTTTAATATATAATTATCATGACCGAATATTAGAGTTAAAACAAACTTGTTTCATTTGGGTTCATAAAAATAAAATCTTTGTCTGTGGTAAGAAAAGAGACCGGTCCACATGTCGTTTAAGAGCACTTTTTGGCTGACCCTTTCATTGAGACCACCTGTCCTAAATGGTCATATTACCTCCCATGATATATATGAAGAAGAAAAAAGTATCAAATAACTTGTATTTACATACAGATATTCTTCTCTTTATTAATATATATTAACTTAAACGTGGTTCAAACGAGATCAGTTCAGAGGTTGGCATTTAAATTGCTGTAGAATTGTGAAACATCAATAGGCCAGTTTTATAAAATCGGCGAAATCAGCAACATGCCGGATGCCTAGTTTCGCTGTTTGGTTATCTAGCAAAAGTCTGTCCAGAACATATTATGTCCCAGGTCTAAGGAAGTGTCGATGTTACCTTCTGGCATATCTTGTATTAAATACAGTTTTGCATTATTTGTTACAAAAGAAAAAATGTGGGTGTTTGATCTTGGCGAAATATCAAAGATCCTCGTTTTATTGTAATTTATAACAGCAGGAAGCTTTGTATATCTCTAATAAAATTTTTCCCGAAAAGTTGACCGTCCTTCTAGCCGTTGTCCTTTAAGTCTCTATATTACAGTGCGCACCTGTTACAGTCAATTAAAGTCGGAATGTTGTCATTTAGTTGGCTAATGTTTGCTTAAATAACAACACTTTATGACCATGCAATTCCACAGTGACCGCCAATGTTTATTTTATAGTCCTACGAAAACACGTGGGACAGACTGACCATAATAACAAAATTTTATTTGTATTCATTTATACATTATTAATAAGAGCTCAGATCAATTTCGATAACTAGAGCAATAGACAATGTGTGTAGTCTATGCTACTTCTGTATCATGAAATTTAATAGTTTTCAAAATGGTGCAGGACAATGACTTGTATGCGTTCCTTTAACGTCGGTTGTTTTCGTATGCTCAACTAAATACTGTGCACAATATTACAAGTGTTAAAGACTAAAAGCCAATCGGCAATGTTAAATACACCTTTCAAAGTTCCATAACTATGACAAAAAGACACAATCACAGTTACATGACTTCATATGTCATGATCAAAATCATCTAGGTTGCTTTTTTAAAAATGTTTTAAGTGCATGAACATTTTCTCCTAAAGTTTGTCATAACTCCTAGGATCCATGAAATGCAACCCTGGATTCCACTACAACCATGAGAACAGAAGAACTTTACAAGAATAGGAAAAGGTTGAAATGTGCCGTGTCGTTGCTTGGAGCATAAATGAGTCTGTATCAAGGCAGGGTCTTTTCAAAAAGACCCTGATTAAGGGCATACGCTTCTCTCCTAACCAACATCAGAGCATTCCTATCCAATGATGCAAGTACGAAGATGGTGGGGAGGATGGTCACAGTCCATTTTGCAATGAAAATCTTCAGTTCGCTATGTTGAACTGTTAGAAGATACTAAACTTGTGTACCGCGACCGCAATAATCATAAACACGTTGACATTTTGTTGTTCTTCCGAAGTTACGCAAGTATTTGCCTCAGGTCTTGGCGTAACATTAATTTTAGTATAGATAAATTATACCATAGCCAAGATGGTCACTACTGACCACAGGTATTATCTTGCAATTAAAATGTTAATGATTTTTAAATTAGAACGTGTCGGTCTATTTTAATGGCCTTGAAATGAAGACCGCCGTGACAATAACTTTGTCATACCCGTTCGTTGTAGGATTACACTGCAGTGTTTTATCATGTGCAGTTGGTTGTTCAATAGTGCAGTAAAGATAATATTAGTTTAAAGGGACTCCTCTTTTGTTTCACATGATGGGACTGAAAATATTTTTTTTAGAGATTATTGTTCCATTTGATGTAGATCTAGACCAATAACTTGTCCAAAATGTCAAATCATTCGTTTACTATCTCCGTTGTTTTCTTTCCAAAATACATATAAGCTGTCGGTTGGACAGCACGCTCGACTATTCTGTGCTTGATAGTAAAAGAGCCTTGATAATGTAAAATTTTCTAAATTCAAAAAGGGCCTATTATGCCCTCGAATAAGTGTATAAAAATTAAACAGATGTCAATGGAATATGAAAATATTTTGGTGGTACCCAGACTTTAACGTTAATTGAACTAAAGTCGAAAAGGGGACTTATTCTGTCACAATGATTAAAAGAGTTACATCCTCCTCCTGTCTACATGTTAAGGGCATGATGGTGAACAAGTGTACAAAGTTTCAAAGCCATATGTCAATGGACTTTCAAAATACTTGAGGTGGTACACAAACTTAAACAAAAGTGGTTATGCAGACGCCGACACCGACGCTCGGGTGACTAGGATAGCTCTACTTATTCTTATCGAATAATCGAGCTAAAAATTACCCAAAATTGAAAAACATTATAACGTTTCCTCTCAAATCGGGCTAATATAACAAAACAATATACTAGTAATTTTTAATTTTTTTCCTAATTATCTTTTAATTTGATCTTCCAGTATATAGGATTTTTTTCGCTTTTGGACCTCAGTGGAAATCCTTTTATCTACATAAGCTTGATCGAAAGAATCATTGTCAATAAGATCATTGCTTTTTCAAAATAATCTTGGCAAACCGATGAATTCAAATATACTGTTAAATTTCGCCAGGGTCTATCAAATGTCTATCTGTAAGACCCTTATTTTGCTTTAAATTAAAACAAACAACTTCATATTTTCAGATGGACCTTTCAGTTAATCTAGAGTCTGCTTTTATCTCTTTAGTTTTATCTTTGCATTAATCCATTTCTTGTTTTCTTCCTTTTAGTATGATTAACAGAGAAAGTTTCTTTCACTCGTTTATTTATTTAAGATTACCGCAGCCAGATAGTTTTACTCATTAGGTCGACAGTCTCCGAGAGATGGCGCTATTCGTGTACACGATGCTGGGTGTTTGTGTCCCATTGTTTCTTTGCTGGGTAATAGGGATTTAATGAGAGTCAACGTAAATATTTTGCGATAATAATTATAAACAGGACACGAGGTAATGAGGCAACTTGTGAAGTTGAAAATTACACCGTTGAGCAGGAACTACTTTTCGGGAAGGTCTCCGCGTGAGGAAATGGGTCAGAGAGGACTATCTATTTGTACAGCATTTGTAAATTGTTGTCTTATGTTTTGGTCACTCTGACAAAGCGCACGTGCCTGTTATATAATTTATTTGATGAAATAACTACACACATGTAGTCTAAATATATGACTATATTTCTGGATTTTAGGCATTTCCGTGTATCACTCTATAAGCAGTTACAAAATGTATGACAAAATGCATTTAACTAAATATGCAAAAGATAGTTTATGTATATAGCAAATGAGTATGTTCCTTGGAAACTGTAACATGCTACCAAAAATTAACAGTTTTTGAGAAATAAAAAATGATGGTATTTCTGAGACATAATGGGCCTTTAAGTATTTATAATACATGCAAACTGCAGCTCAAGCGTCTGCAATCAATGCACTGGTAACGCAAGAATCGTGCCCAGCGCGGATACTCAACTTTCCTTGGATGCAGTGACATGAGTTTGCATAATTAGCGACTCTTTGAAAACAGATATTTGATTGATATGAAATATTCAATGTTTAGCAGTTATCGATGATTAATCAGGAAACATTGACAACAGACGTGTGCGCAACGTCTCACATTATTTTGATACACTGCCCATGGTCACGATATTTACGGCTGGTCCTTGATGGCCCTTTGTCGGCTCGCCAGTACTTTTTTCTGAAGACCCGCGGGGTTCACCGTAGATGCATAGCGTGCTTGAGATTTCACCTGTCTTATTACGTAATATTAAAAGGATATGATGTCCTATTGTTGACTTTAGTGACAGATTAATTTCAGTTTCATTATCCAAACTCTCAGTGTAAAGGGATAGCAAACCTTGCTCATTGTTTAACTTTTATCTCAACCCTTACCATGATGGAACCGATTTATAAACTTTGCCATTCGTATACAACCTGGCCAGCTATATTATTATTAAGTGACATTATGCTCATTTGCGAGTACATAGTGAGTGAATTAGTGAATTTAAAGGTCAAAATAAGTTGCCATCATTCCATTCAATTTTATAATATGTTTTTATTATTATTATTATTACTATTATTATTATTATTATTTTTATTATTATTATTATTATTATTATTATTATTATTATTATTATTATTATTTAGTGTTTTGAACTTTGTTTTTAACTTTGAATTGACTGTTTCAAATTCAAAACACGGTGATATATTATACAAATCTTAGAACAGTTTATATTAATGCGCAGACAAATGAAGCAGAAGAGCATATAAGGTCTTTCTTCATAAAATAAATCATGGAAGTCGCCATAAAACATTTACATTATAACCATGATAACATTTACATGATTTCAGTATCAGAAAAAGTGATTCTGACAGAATGAAGATTCTCTTTTCTCGGTGCTGGTTAAATCTCTCCGGTCATGTGCAGTGAGGAGAGACATACAATTTTGCTAGAACATTGTATAAATTTGCAAATACCGTCGTCAACATACAATGACAAGAATGCAATTTATATTAACCAAAATCTACTTTGACGAATGCCAATCATCAAATATTGCCAATGATTACAACAGCAGTGGGTCATGACCTCAGTTCGATCAGCATCCGTATGCCTGT